CACAAAGAACTCATCTTGCTGTGAGCCAGCTCCTGAGTGCTCCTGCCAGAGCAGCTGCAAGGTTTCCCAAAAGCATTCAGCTGCCTGCAGTTGGCATCTTCCTGCATGAGAAGTAACACAGGTTCCTTTGGAGCAGACACACAGGCCCTTTAACCACGCAGTTTCTTAGGAGGTTATTTCAAGAGTTCACCTGCAATACTGGTTTTGAACTTGAAAATATCAACTGTAACCCTTGTGGAATCTTTAACTGTAATGCTGGTCCTCTCTAACCCTGTGCCAATATCCAGTAGTCACAGCAGAGTCCTGTTTTGTATTTCTTAACACACACTTTCATCCTTCATTTCATTGTGTCTGTGCCTGTTTGTCTCTTGGAACAAAAACCTGCACTCTGCTCTGCATTGCTAGAGGTGCTCATACCCTGATGAAATCCAACCCAGGTTGCAGGCTGTCTCACAACAGGAAAGTGGTATCTTTTAGAAATCCAAAAGCAATTGAAACTGCTACAATGATTGTTTTTTTCTGAACAAGAGTTTTTCACTGAGGAGAGCTGTCTTGGGTGATGCAGATCCCCCTCTCCCTGTAACGTGTCCTGTGTTGTAATTCAAAGTAACCCCGTGTATCATGTTTGCCTCTTTTCTTTTTAATGGAATGCCTTTTCTTTCCCTTGCTCCAGTCTTATCTCTTTTGTGTCTGTACTTTCCTGACCAGGATCTTTACAGCCATAATGCCCATGGTAGCAGCTGGATTGATTCCAGACGATCCCACATTGCAGCCAATAAGAAGACTTGTGTCCCTTGTAGGAATTGTTTTTAAATGTTTGGTACTGTGGTTTCCTCTTGCATGACCCCGTGTTAACAAGCACTGCTGGTTGCATTCTCCTGGCTGCCAGTGGGATCCCAGAGGATCAAAGTGCCAATCAGAATGACCAGTCAGTGCCAGTACTCATCCCAGTCCTCCACACTCATCCTCAAACTGACATGTTAGCACCTTTTGCCTTAATGTTGCCATGCTAAACCAATCATTATTCCTTGGAAAATCAGTGCAATGTGCAGTTTTAACCAGCATCTGTTAATTCTGCTTCCTAAGCAAGGCTATTCACAGTTCTCACCAGTGCTTATTGAGAAACTAGTTTCTAATAATTTGTTACAATCATTAGTTAGAGTTACAGAATGGAGAGGCTGATTTCCACATTAATTTCCACTGTTAATTACAGGCTGTTGCTTTCATGTCTTTCTATCTATGCCCTGTATATTTTGTCTCTAATTATGTATTTTGGAATAGAGTGTAAACTATTCATAATCAATTCTGTCATCCAATTCTTGGCTCTCCCTGGAAGACATACTGATAATTGTTAATGTAAAGTCTCTTTGCATTAGAACTGCTGCTTTAGCAATCTTTATATTTCCAGCAACTTTCCTTTCCTCTTTGGAAAAAGACAGGCTTTTTCCAAACATCCTTCATGAGAATTTTCTAGCCATAATAACAATTTTCATTGTTTCAGAAGGAATTTTAAAAGCTGAACCCTTTAGAGGTTTACAAACTTATTTTTCTCCTGCTTAATTTCCTGATAAAGTGAAAAATTACTGAGCTTTGATACTGACTGTATAAACACAGCAATCCTTTGTGTGGGCTTCCAGACAGTAACTCTGAGCAGACAGGACCAAATGTGCTCTGTAGAAAGGCTCAGTCACTAAACACTCCTTTTATCAGCTGGAGCTGGCTCTGGCCCTGAAAATATTCAGTATATGTGTGTGAACTCATGAGCTCCTGTGATGAAAGTGGTAGAAAAGTTTGAGGCTAATTGAGTGCAAAATACTTACTTCACTATTAAGGCTGCACTTTTGAAGTCAGGAAATGCAAAAGTTCAGGTTCTGCTGGCACTGTTATTTATGTGCATTTAACTTGTGTAGTGGTTTATTTCCCCTTCTAATCAACAAGTAATTATTCTTAATATTCTCAGTGATTATCATCCAGCCTCCTGTGTGTTGAGAGGCATGGAAGGTTGAACTCCCTGCTCTGCACAAGGCAGCTGGGAGGGCTGGGATCGTGGTGCTGAGGGGGATGAAGGGAGAGGGATTTGGGAGAATGCTGAGGAGGGTGAGCATGGACTCAGGGTCAGGTTTATGCCCTGACCAATACTCCAGCACCTGACAAAGCTGAGGTTCCACTGGCACAGTCCCTTCCTGGGCAGCATTTAGCAATTCCTGTCCTGGATCACAGCTGTGTCACACTTGGTGCAGTGCAGGCAAAACAATCCTCACCTCCTGAAGCCCACCCAGCAGAGACCAAAGGGATCCACAGCCAACTCAGTCCTTTGGCAGCTGGAACCACAACTTTTGCATTTCTCAGCAGGCCTAAACACTGCACTAACACCTCTTGTACTCAACCCACAACAAACATTGAATTTGCCTAATCCAATAACTTCATCCCATACAAATAAAACAATACTAAGGATTTTCCAGCTGTATTTTTTAGCTGTATTAAATGGCTGTTGGTTCATGTACGTCATTATCTTAGAGCACCCAAGCTGTGTGACAGGAAATGACGTGCACACTCGTGTGCATTTGTTTAGAGCCTTCATCCTGCAAACTCTCATGCACATAGGTGCATTTATTCATTCCTTTCTGCAGGAATCAAGTCTATGTATCAAAACCTCTACACTGGGAAAAAATGTGGAGACTTAGTTTCTTATCTTGCGAACTTCCCTGCTGATGACTTAAAAAAAAATTCTATTTCTGCTTTGTGGTAAAATATACAGATTTAACGCCAAAGATACCACTTTACTTATGCCAAGAAACTAACCTGGATTGTGTGGCTTTGTTACCTGAGGGCTGGGGAAGGGGGAGCCCACATCTAAATGATACCTGCACCTTGTAGAGTCAACAGCATTTAGAGCTTACCTGAAGCTTCTGCAGCCAAACTGCTTGAGACTGCAGTGACTCCATCCCTAACAACCTTCTGACATGCACTCCCATCAGGCCGCTCTGCCTTGGTTTTCTGCAGATGCAAACAGAGTTTTTTGCTCGGTGTTTTGTTGTGCTGTGTATTGGGGCGGGTGTTTGAAGAGCTTTCAGGATGGTAAACACTGTTCTTTCTTTTCCCTCCCTCCCTCACTGCTCCTTTCCTGGAAGGTTTAGTTTCTTCTCTCGTGATAAGAAACGTATGCAGGCGTCACAGAAAAACGTGCACTTCCAGGAAACTTTTGGAGAATGGTCACATTCAAACAGAGATGACTCCTACATGGAACAAGGACAAGAAGCCCTGCAACACCTGTGACTAAAGCCCTGAGGTGTTTGGTTTGCTGCAGTAGATCTCGAGTCTCATAACAAGAAGCTTCTGTAAAGCCTCGCGGCAGCTCGTCACTTGTGCTTGCCTTGCACACCTGGGGGTTATTTCAGACTCCAAAAGGGATCCCTCACTGTTCACTTGGTGACTGTTTGCTGCAAACAGGAACCCAAGCTTTGTAGTAACAGCTGCTGACACCCTGGGACATGGAAGCTTCTAGATGACTTGTTTTGTGCTGAATAACAAGTCTATGATCTTGTTCATGCATTAACTACAGTAACACAAGCTTCTTTAAACCAAAAAAGGACCTGTGCCATTATTAGAAGTTTGTTTGCAGTGTATATCTAGTACAGGGCAATGACTCTTCTACCCTGTTTGTTAACACTACTGGTTGTTTGCTTTTTATTTCTGTAAGAATTTTTTCAAGAGGGATGCGACGGCTGGACGCCCTTGGTGGCAGCCACAGCTCTGCTGTGTCCTGTGTCAGTGCTGCTGGCATCAGCATCTCACAGAGTCACCCCTTGGAAAGCCACCTGACACAGTGATAACTGGAGTAGCCTTGGGAGGGACAGTGAGTGCACATTTCCCTTGTGCTTACAGTGCCTCAAGCATGAAGAGCCGATGCATGAGGTGAGCGTGCCTTGTGTTCTGCAGTATTCATGGAAAACAAGTTGCTTACAGGGAGGAATTAATTCTTCAATTTTTTTCCCTTCTTACCAGGGACTTCCTCACAGTGTAGCAGGCAGCTGCTGTGAAAGAATTAGACCTTTCCCACAGACAGGTTTTTAATTAAGTCACACTTCAATTTCCTGTCTAGGTAAAACTGCCCAGCTTCAGAGGGAAACACATCCTCAGCTGGCTGACATGAACTATTTCACTGCCCTAGACAGGAACCCAACCTTTTCTCTTGACTAAACACTACATGGGCAGAGCACATGAATTCTGTGTGAAGCTGCTGCTGTGGTGATGGCAGATGTCTGGGTAGCCCCTGTTTTACAGGGCTGAACTTGCCAGGACAGCCCAGCAGCCAACCCAGGGGCTGGGGCTGGATCTGCTTTGCAGCTGAGCTGGGGAGACCCCAGGCCTGACCGAGGTTGTCCTTCCAACACTAAAACCTCACAGGGTCAGAGCTGTGGACACCCAGTGCCAGTGCAGTGCCCAGCTCTGCTCCACACACTCCACGAGGAGCCTGAGCAGGTGGCAGAGGCTGCACGTGTCCATGGCTCCGTGTGAGGACAGGAGTGTCTCTGTGGCCTTGGCCATGGGCTGGGAAGGTCCATGCTGAGACCACTGCTCGTGGGAGGCCTCGTGCCACCAGGGCCATGGGCAGCTGCATGTGCAGCTCAGTGCCAGGGGCTGGGAGCTCTTCTTGGCACCACAGCCCCAGCTGCTCTGTAGAGCCTCTAAGAAGTGGCACCAAGGACAGGAAATACAGCTCAGGCTGGAGCAAAGCTGCACTGAGTGTAGGAGAACTCAAAGGACTCCAGAGGGCTTCATGCAGGCCAGTTGTTCTCATTACAGGGTGATCCAAGAGTGGATTTTTAATAAGTGTGAGCAGCAATGGTTCTTAGCCCATCTGTAGTAAAACCCTGGCAGTAAAACCTCTCCCTGCAGTGGTGGGCTGAGTGCTGCCCTGCTCCTGGCTGTAAGTGCTTCATTCCATCATGGGCCTTCTGTGTGTTCTAGGAAGGGAAAGTGTTTATTGTGTCCCTCTGGTGTCACTGGAGCTTGGGGCAGGGGGGACATGTGGCCTTATATGGGACATGGTGATCAGAGTCCAACATGGGTGTGGGGTAGATGTGGTTTTGCCTGCTGATGTTTTGGTAACATCCTTAAAACAGCAGCACTTCTCCCCTCCTGTGAAAGGCAGCTCTTAAATGGGGTGACTGTCGTAATTTAAATTGCCAAGATCTGTCTTCACTTCCATACAAGAAAACAAAAAGTGCAGTCCAGTCACATCAGGCAGTGAAATTGTGGATGACCCCATCGAGTCTGTCCCGAGTCGTGTGGCTCATTCAGAAGGGATGCAGTGAGCAGGAACAATGCAGGAACCTGGGCCTGAGTAAGCAGATCCCTTTGGAAATCAGCTGAGAGCAACGAGCTGGGATAATGGAGCTGCACAGACCCAGCCTAAGCAGCACAAAGGAATTCTCCAGGCCAGCCTGGGGCTGTGTCAGGCCAGCTCTGCAGCCAACACCAACTGCAGAGGCAGGACAGCCTTCCCCACATCTCTGCAGCATTACCTCAACCCCTCACGGCCCCTCCTGACCTGCTGGCATTAACCACTCGTTCTCATTTTGCAATGCTGCATTCACACACCCCAGTGCTGTCAGGCAGGATGGCACAGAGGGAAGCTTGTAAAGATCTGAAGATCTGTCGTGTATTGTTTGTCAATATTCAAGGAAAATCTGCTTTTAGAAAAGGGGCCAGGATGCTGGCAGGTTAGGGGTGTAACAATCCTGCCTGCCAAGTGCAGGATCACTGACATTTTTTGGGTTGGTTTATTTTTTTTTTGGTTGGGCAGTAAATCATTTTAACAGTTTAATAAATATTTCTGAAAAATATGTATTTCTGCAAGACTTGTGTCTTTTTTTTTTGGTAGAAAGTAATACCATCCATTCTTGGGGATGCAGCTTATGGATCTGTGTACAACTTCATGGAAATACAGCCCCAACCAGACAAGGTTTAGGACAGAGCCATTCCAAGACTGATGAAATACAATTTAAAATACATTATATATTTAGGAATGGCTTATGATGACAAAGAATGTGACAGAACCTTTTCTAGAAAGTACAGTAAGCTCCTGAATGGAAGAGGTGTGTCTGTATTCACACATCTAGTCCTGAAAAAGATATTTAGCCCTTTTTCCCCCATTGAGCTACACCCAGCAGCAAGCCCAGTTTCCAGAATGGATTTAAACCCTGTGTAGAAGGGTGAGGACACAGTGGATGCAGCTGCAACCACATTTACCCATGACACCCTCCTTCAGTGACTCTCCATGGATTCATCAGGAACAAGAGGCATTTCAGGACGTGCTCACTGTCCTGAGGTGCACGTTCCTCTGCACAAAGGAGCTTCATCCTCCCATGTCACAGACAGTGGATTGGTTCCATGTTTCTCTCTCACCTGGCAGAACTAGTTAAGGACACAGTATCAATAAAGGTCTTGCTTGTCCCAGTGTCTTCACAAAAATGAAGCCACATCCCATCAGCTTCTGTTTTGGGGCACAGAAGTTTGCTATTCCATTCTTGTGTCTCCAGCAGGGACTGTTTCATAACAAATGTGGACACCTGGCACACAGATAACTCCTCACCCAGGCAGCCAGACAAGGTGTGTGCTCAGCTGAGGGGGATGCTCTACACACGGTGCATTTCTTACAGCAGTCACCAGTTCAAAAACAATAATACAAAATTTATTTTCTCTAAAGAACAATCCAACACACATCTGAACTGCAGCAGGAACCAAACCATAGAGAGCTGCTGGCAGCAGAGTCACAGGCACAAGGTGCAGCACCACAGCTTGCTCTGGGAGTGCTGTCACAGCCCCAAGGACAAGGCACGGTCACCTATCGGTGCTTATCATCATCTCTCTGCTTCTTGGTGTCTCTGTCCCTGCTGCGGTCTCTATCCCTGTCCCTCCTGTCTCTGTCCTTCCTTTCCCTCCCCCTGCTCCTCTCCTCTTTGGAGTCTCTCTCACTGTCACCCCAAGCCCACGACCTCTCCCTTTCAGGCCAGCGTTTGTCCCTGCTCCTCTCGTGGTCCCGGTCCCTCGTTCTCCAGTCCCTCGTTCCCTCACGAGACCAGTTTCTTTTCTCTGATGATCCTTCTCCATAGAAATCGTTCTTCATGTTTGGCAAATTGATGGGCTTTCGGAAAGGTCTGTCCCGTCCTCCGAACCGCAGCTGCCCGGATTCTTTTTTGCCTCCAAACCCACCCCCAAGCCTCCGGGGAATCCATCCTTTGAGAGTTCTTTCCAGTTCAAAGTCTACAAAGATCTCATGCTGGTCGATGACCAGCCTGTTGGCATCTCTGTGGGCCTTCAGCAGCGCACGCTCCTCTTTGTACTCAATAAACGCATAACCCTTGGAAAACCCCGTGACCAGGTCTCGAACCAGACGGATCTTTCTGATGTCTCCATAGCGGGAAAAAACCTCCTTTAGCTTCTCTTCTGTGGTCTGAAGATTGAGCCTGGCCACGAAGAGGGTGAGGTGAGGGTCTCCCGTGACGCCCTTGTTGGGTACGTACCGCGCCAGCATCGCCCGCCATATGGCCCGGTCGTGGGGCTCCTCGTCCGTGCCATCGATGCTGCCAGCCTTGAGGGGGTCGTACTCCTTCGCGATGGGGGCCCAGTCAGCCATTGCCTGGTGGGGAGAACACACGGCACGGGCTCACGGCGGTGTCAGAACAGCCCGCGCAGGAACCGCTTCCAGCACCGCTGCACTGTGTTCATCCATAGATGAAGTGTGACACACAAAAACAAACCAGCCGTGTCGCTGTTGTTCGAGCCCACATGCCGTGTCGGGAGCCGCATCCTCCCCTGGCCTACCCCGGCCTGAGGGGCCCCGGCCTTGCCCTGCGGGCCCGGCCCGGCCTGAGGGGCCCCGGCCTTGCCCCGCGGGCCCGGCCCGGCCTGAAGGGCCCCGGCCTTGCCCCGCGGGCCGAGGAGGCCGCTCAGCCCCGCTCCCGCCGCCGCCTGTCCCCTCAGCGGCTCTCCCGGCTCTGAGGAGCCGCAGCCGCTCCCGCCGGGGTCGATCTCAGCCCCTTTCCCCTCCCGGCAGCGCCGCCCGGCCCGGCTGGGAGCGGCGGGCATGGAGCGGGGCCGGGGCGGGGAGGAGGAGCTGGAGGAGGAGGATGAGGAGGATGAGGAGGAGGATGGCGGCCCGGAGAGCGCCCTGGAGAAGAGCCCGTTCCAGCTGACGGCCGCGGATGTCTACGACATCTCCTCCGTGGTGGGCCGGGACCTGCTGCAGCTCCGCGCCGGGCCGCAGCTGCCCGCCGCCCGCGCCCGGCTGCAGTTCAGGATCGTCAGGGTGCTGGAGATGCTGCCGCTCCCGCCGGGGTCGATCTCAGCCCCTTTCCCCTCTCCCGCAGCCCGCCAGTCCCCCCGCCCCGCTCCCGGAGCCGCCGAGGCGCTGCGGAAAGGCCTCGGTGCCGGTTCCCGGGGCTGCCGGAGGCCCCCGTCCCTTACCGGCCGCGGAGCGCGGGCGGTGCCTCCTCAGGGGAAGGGGCAGGGCGGGAAGCGGCGCGGGGCCGCGGGAGCGCCGGGGGCGGGAGGAGCCGCTCCGCCCGCGGCGCCGCCGGCAGCGCCGCCCGGCCCGGCTGGGAGCGGCGGGCATGGAGCGGGGCCGGGGCGGGGAGGAGGAGCTGGAGGAGGAGGATGAGGAGGATGAGGAGGAGGATGGCGGCCCGGAGAGCGCCCTGGAGAAGAGCCCGTTCCAGCTGACGGCCGCGGATGTCTACGACATCTCCTCCGTGGTGGGCCGGGACCTGCTGCAGCTCCGCGCCGGGCCGCAGCTGCCCGCCGCCCGCGCCCGGCTGCAGTTCAGGATCGTCAGGGTGCTGGAGATGCTGGAGGCGCTGGTGAGCGAGAGCAGCGTGGCCGAGGAGCAGCTGCGGCGGGAGCGGGACAGCCTCCGGCGGGAGCTGGAGCAGCTGCGCGCGGCGGCCCGGGGCAGCGCCCCGCAGGTGGGTGCGGGACTCGGCCGGGACACACGGACACAGGGGACACGGCCGGGACACACAGACACAGGGGACATGGCCGGGACACACGGACACACGGGACATGGCCGGGACACACAGGGCACACGGGACCCACGGGCTCCTTCCCCAGCACGGGCACACCACGCGCGGGTCGCGGAGCGCACCCACAGCCGCACCAGTTGGCCCGGCCGATACTTGTGGTATCTTTTGTGTCAGCCGGGCGAGTTTCACAAAGTCACTTCCCGTCTTTGGCCGTGAAAGCCTGGAAGCTCTTTCCGTCGGGGAGGTCGCAGTGCTGTGGATTCCTCGCTCCAGTGACTGACCCAGCAAAGTTGGGTCAGTCACACACAAAGTTCAGAGAGTGCAAACCCACCACGTTCAGCTCTTGCACAGCACCGGCCCCATGGAGACAACTGTATGCAAACACTGAGGCTTTGTTACCCCCTGCGAGGGAAATTGATGTCTTCATTGCTACAAAGGTTTTCAATCAAAAAAGGCGAGTTCAGTTCTCACCTTTCTTTGACACGGAATTTTGGTGTGGCATTAGATGGCTCAGCCTCACTCATCATCTGAGAACAATCTGGTAAAAGCATCTTGACAACTAAATTGCAAACTCTTCCGAACAGAAACTTTGCTTTTAACTGTGGTCAGATCTTGTCACAGTTGTGGCCTATGGTTGGCTGGGGAACACAGTCACTAAGGGAATACAAAAAAATGTGAAGAACTATACTTAACTGCTTGGGGGAAAAAAAAAATCAGGATTGTGATGAACTCATACCAGTTCTAAAAATTCCATATTTATAAAATCCAGATATTTTACTCTCTGAATGCTGAGTTTTTTGAGAGGTTACAAGATCCACCACTGTTTATTTTACAGCCCAGCCTTGGACCAGATCAGATGGTGATAGACCTCACAGACCCCAACCGGCCCCGGTTCACGTTACAGGAGCTCCGAGATGTATTGCAAGAGAGGAACCAGCTGAAAGCTCAGCTGCTGGTGGTGCAAGAGGAGCTACAGTGCTATAAGAGGTAAAGCTTGAAGTCAGCAGAGAACTAATACTGCTAATAACGAGTACTTCATGAAGCTCACCAGTTGAGTCTTGCAGGTTTGGCCCCTAGGTCAGGATGGGCACTGTCCAGGTATGTAAGTGACCCCCGTGCTCCTCAGAGCATACAAGAGAGCAAAGAAAAATGGGGGAACAATGAAGTGTCTATGCAATATGATTTAAAAACCAAACTCCCTTTTCTCTGCACAGTTCTCAGCCCATTCCCATAACTGTCCCACTCTCAGCCTACGCAGAGTTACTCCCACTCCACATCCAGGCTGGGTTCTTGTGCACAGGAATTCATCTGTGCAGCCACAGCAGCTGCACACACACTGTGTCTAAAGCCACACTACATACCAAAGAGCACGGGGGGTTTCCAGCTCAGCTGCAGGCAAAGTTTCCTTCCTCCTACAGCACGATGCTGATTGATCTCCGGTCCTTCGCTCCCACGGGGGTGTGACACTGACCTAGAAACAGAATATTGAGCTCTTTCATCACTCATGATAATCTGTGGGGTTTTTAAGACAGCCAGCAGAGGGTTGTGTAAGGCCCTTGCAAGTGATTTCAGAGAAGGGTTTGGTCTTTCCTGAAGGGAATCAGTGTGAGTCAAAGGGTGGGATGTGGGAAGGGTCTTGATCTTGGTGCTACAAATTCATTCACCCCAAAGGCTCTCCTTCCCAACCTCTGCCCCCTCTCATCAGGTTGGATTATAAACTCTTTGGGTCAAGAAATTTCTTCTTAATCTGGAAGATTAATCTGAGCACATCAGGTTTCATTTGGGACATCTCAGCAGCACCCTCCTGGATACAGCGAGCCCGCCCTTTGCCTTGCCTGTAACAGGCAGGTCAAGCCAAGAAGTTACACTTCAATCCAAGAATTTACAAACTGCCTGACAGCACTTCTACAGCTCAGCTGGCTGCTTTGCTGTGCAGCAGTGGAATGGCTTCTTGCTTTGATTTCCCAGCTGTTACACAGTTTGGTACAGGCCAAGTTAAAAATGTAACAGTGGGAATGTTTTCAGGTTTTTAGTGATCTGAGTCACAGTGCTGTGCACCAAGAGCAGGGCAGGGCTGCTTTTCAGGTCGAGTAATTTGTGAGGTTATCTCCTCATACAGTGTTACAGCTTAAGCCAAAGCCCATTTTCCCTCTAAACAGTCACATAAAATCCTAATTGTAATTGTAGTAAAGAGTAATTGTAGTAAACAGTAATTGTGCAGGAGAAGAGGATAAATATATGTTCTAAAATGCTTTGTACACGTTGGAAATAAGCTCTGCATAACAAGGTAACAAACATCTCAGAGACTGGCTCAAAGTGACTGGTGGTGTTTGGGGGCTGCATTTTTCATCATGATTTCTGGGTAGAAGTTACTATGCAGATGTTAGAGCTCTGCAGTGTCACCCAACAGCTCATTGTCTCATTTATCCAAGAGAGTCTGCTTCAGAATTACCCCATGCCTGGTGTCACACCAGTTTTGAAGTGCTCTGTGTTTTTATTTCCCAATCCAGTTGAGTGTTGCTTGGCTACTCTCCGCCTGCAGCTACTGCAGTCACAGGCTGTGATCCACTGAGCTCTCCAAGTGACTGAGGTCAGCTCAGGACACGCTGTGAAAACACTGAGTGTGCAGGCTGGGAAAATCTCACCCTGTTCCAGGCAGGGAAAACACCCTTTGGTCAAACCGAAACTGTTGTCTGGAGTAGGCGGTTCCAGCTTCTGGAGTGTAGAAACACCAAAGTGAGATGGCAAAATCTTAGAGCTGAGGCAAAGCCTTTCTTCTCTCCTCTGTAGGGTGGAAAGAGGAACAGGCACCTGCCTTGCAGGGGAGCTGGGAATCTCCCATCTGTGCCCAGGCCTGCTGTGAGCCTGGGTGGCTGCGCTGGAGGTACCACACATCCACCCCTGCAGAAATTCACCGTTTGTGTCCACACCATCCTCCTGCCCTTGGACTTCTGCAAATCCAAGTGTGATTACACTTCCCTTTCACCCCCATTATGATTTGCCATTTTTTTCTCTGTGAAGTCATCTTGTTACTTTTTTAGTGTTCTAAGCATAACCCTGGCACCATTACATTGCTGTATTCAGGGATAATAATTCATTATTTTCAGTTCAGTACAAGCAAGAGGCAAGCTGCCATCCCTGTCCTGTGAACACTCATTCACCCATGTCCAGTGAGAGGTCTAACTCATGCACCGTCACACTCTGCACAAACCCACAAAAAATAAACAAAACCATTTATTTTCCCAGTGGGATCATCTCACAGAAAAGGGACCAAACTGAAGAACTGGACAAAGAAGCCAGTGGCAGCAGTGCTGGCACCAGAAAGAACAGTGAAGAGAAGACAATCATCAAAAGGCTGTGAGTTTATCTGCAGCTTTTGGGGCAGAATTTGTGAGAACATGGCCCACTCCTTACACAGGGTGGATGCTGAACTTTAGCCTAGTTGGCTGGATATTGTTTGCTGCTCTCCATGTAAAGTTAAAAACCTGATAAAGCAATCTCTTCCTGGGGAAAAAGCACTGCCCAGGAAAGCCACCTCCACCCAGGCAAGCAGGGAGTCACTTTTTTCCTAGGAAAAACAAGATTCCTGAGCAAAATGATTCAATACTTGCCTCCCCTGCCAGCCCCTCAGGGCTGTGCTGTGGGAGCACCCCAGCTGGCCCCAGGCTTTGTTTACATTGTACACAAAACCCACAAGCTCAGGGTCTGTCCCTAAAGTCCCCCAAAATAGCACATTGTCAGGGCCAGCTCCCTGCCTGTTCCTTGTTTTCCAGTTGTACATTATTGTTTCCTTTCTGCTATTGATTTCTTCTTTTTTTTTAGGTTTTCTTTTAAACATGGAAAATGAGCATCCTCAAGGACTTTGCTGCTTTTGAGAATGGCACTGATGAGCCTCAGAGGCGTTGGGAAAGACAATGCCTGGAAGCAGCAGCATCACTCCTACTGTAGAGAATGAGCAATCTCATTAAAATCATGTTGTATAATATTCTTTCAGAATAGATTTTACTCTGCTTTTTTCAGAAACTGTTTGAAACAGACACTTTTTGTATTTCTTACTGTCAGACATTATCCACATGTAGAAAATAAAATGTTTATACAAAGCTGGGGTTTATTCTTATTAAAAGTGCCTGTGATTATCTGTTCTACAGCAGACTTATCCTGTCCAGCTATCAAAACATTCAGCCCAGATTATTTTGTAAGATTAAGGTCATAGAAACATGCCATTCACAAGTGTTTGTTGGGGATGAGGTGAACAGTGGAGGAAAGCACAGCAAAGGAAGAAAAGCTGCTGCAATTGGGCTCTGCCTACATGAAGGGCTGAGGTGCAGGCAGTGCTCAGACTGGAACAGATGCACCAAACATTTCATTTCTGACAGCTGAAGGTCTCCTGTGGTAGGGAGTTGTGCTTTGCATAAGCTCTGTTCTTTCAATCACCTGCCACAAGCTGTGTATTGGCCCCAGTAATGAGATTTAGCACCAGTGGAAGCATATAGGGCAAACAGAGGAGTGGGAAAAGAAGCTTGAAAGACACCAATTAGGTTCTCCATTTAGAAAGGTAGAATATCCAGAGCAGAAGTCTGAACAGACATAAAAGAAGCAGTGACAGGTATCAAACTGTGATCTTACTCTCTTCAGAAATAAAAGCAGGCTCTGAAGTCTTTTGATTCCCTCTCCTACACTGGCAGCATGAGAAATATAGGGCACCTCAGAGATCTGCTCAGCTGCACAGGGTGGATGGGCTCAGCAGAAGCAGAGCTGCAGCCTCCCTGCAGAGGTCAGGAACAGCTGGCTGTGAGCAAGGCCACACCACAGCTGGCTGAGCTGAGCCAGCTGCTTTAGCCAGGCACAGAAACACTCAGGTCCTTTTGCCATCTTCAAAATATCAATAAGCCCTGGCCCTGCCCTCATTGTGTATTTTCTAGAGCATGGCAGCAGGGAAGGCAGTTACTGCATGGCCTGAGCAGAGGCTTTGTACAGAGAAAAAAAAATGAAACAAAGGAACAATCAGCAACAGCCAGGATGCACCTCTGAGCTGAAGAGAGATGCTTACATGTGATCTGAATTCCATCCTCTTCCATGGCTTATCCAGGGATGTATTTTCCAATCTCCTTTAAAAAAAAAAAAGCAGTTTAGCTCCCAACCCAAGGGCATCTTTCCCTGTGACACCTTGTTAGAAGATGAAGCCTTCCTGTGAGGCACAGATATAAACACCAAATGACACATTGCTGTGAGAAACACACTGAGATAGATCTCTAGATCTCTGTATGTGTGCCTAGAAAAGTAAAGGATACAGATGCAGTGCAACATGAGCTTTATTTCCATCCTCCAAAGCAGTGCTACTCAATTACCAGTTAAGCTTTCAGAGAAGACATTTTCTTTTTATGTAAAACAGGGAGATCTTTCCCCTTTCTTGTTTACAAAAGTGATGCTGAAGTACAGAGGTTTTAAGCTATTCAACCTGATAGAGAACACATAAATTTTTAAATAAAATTTTAAAAAAATTATTCCAATTTTGACTTAAGGGAAGTGCTCTAGTTTAACAGGACACTGTACACATTGGTGAGGTCTCTGTTACTGAGACAGAGAAAAATCAGTGCCAACTCAGACAAGTTGACCAGTGAGGCTTACCTGAAACTCAGTACACGTAATGTAACACGTCTCCAGTTAATTCTTCAGAAATGGGAAGATACCCAGGCTTGCTCTGACGAGTTTGCCTTGTGTGAAGCAGTAAATAATATAAAGCATTTAATAGCTAATGATTTTCACAGCTTTCTTTCAAAATGCTCATAAAACTGCAATGGAGACAGGTAGTATAGCAGCCGTTTCATCAATAATAAATATAATCTTTATTTTACAGAGACATTGTCTTCAAGTTTTTAATTTAAAAAATACATCACTAAGCCACCTCTCTTGCTGCTGGAGCACACAACCAGGATGTTGTTGCTATCTGACCTATCACATAGGCAAGCATAAGATTGTCTAGAGGGCATTCAGCTGGAACAGCAGCAGCCTTCAAGACATGAGGAATAGAAGACATTAACAGAGCCACAGATCCCTTGCTGACATCTTCCAGCAGCAAGCGTGGCTGATGGCTCACAGCCATTTTCATCTACACACATGCCAAGCCTGCCTTGGCAAAAATTCCAACTGGTAAGAATTCCTCTTTAACATAAAGGACCTGCATTGTATTGCCTGCCTATATCCCAGAGTTGGCTCTCCAACAGAAACATCCAAACAGCCACGAGATGCCAAGAACTCCACTCCCATGTGAGACAGTGGGACCAGGCTGTGCTGGACACACCTACAGGACCAGGCAATAAGGAATCTACTTTCTTCACTGCATGAACTCCATCACTACAGTTTGAAGCTGCATATGAAGATGACTCCTAGTTTTGGAACCACTATGCTCTACTTCAAGCATTCACAGTAAATAAATAGCTTCTGATGTGGCTAATTAGCATAGGAAGGTAATATAAAATCTTTTTGGAGAGAGTTTTTACTTCTTTAAAATCCTCTGGGAGACACCTCCAAAAATCAGCCATCGACTGTAAAAAAGGTACCTTCTCAAAGTTTAGAAAATAAGTAAATGTCAAATATTAATTCTCACTGTGAAGTTCTATCTTCACATCTGTAATCAGTATCAACCCAGTCTATCAAAATTTATCCTCATTTGGCTGGAAGTAATTTCTCCAAAGGAAGCAGTCAATCTGACCATCCTTTTCCCTCAGTGCCAGTGCATTTGGAGTTCATTGCCAACAGAATGTATGACACAGGAGAAACTGGATTCCTACCACAAATTATTTGAGAATGACAGTAGCATCCATCTCAGAGAAGCCTGTCAGCAGTGGGCTGTGAAAAGCAGTCTGACAGGCAGTCAAGCCACTGGATGACCAAGTCAGAGTACAGCAGTACTTCTGTCCTAAAGCCAAGTTCAGCACCCCAAAGTGGGGCGTGAGATTTCCTTGCAAAAGCAGAAGCACAACCCCAGTGATTAAGTTTCTGTGCAAGTCTTTCACTGCTCAAGTGGCACTGGTCACTATACAGAAGCATTTGAATTTTAAGGAGGGTTTTCTTTTTATGATATAAAAGTTTTGGCAATCTAAGATCAATTATTCAAGCCTGCCTGGAAAACTATAACAGGTATTTCAATACTGCAAAGCAAAAAGGCAGTTTTTAAGGAGCTCGGAAGACCATAAGCCATCCACTAAGAAAGCTGAGGGAAGTGAGGGCAGAAAAAAAAAAATGCACTGACTCCTTGTAGAACACTCAGTCCAAAAATAAAAACCCCAAAACAAGAAGATGAATTAGTGTTTCAGCCACGGGTGAGCTTCAATGGAAGCTTTGCTTCTGTCTCCGTAGTCGTACAAGAGTTCTTCACCTGCCTTAATGTCCCTGGAAGCTATGAGGATGAGATGAGGCACACCATCGATGTCGTGGAGCTTGGTCTGACAATTGCCACACTTGCTGTGATTAATGAGCCTCCCCAGGCGATTCGTTTCTTTCGTAGCATCGACACTGAAAGAGCAAGAACAGAGCGCGGATGGCGCCTGGGACGGGGGCTTTGAGACAAACCCCAAGAAGTGCAAATCACACAGAGGAGGAATCCACACAAGTCTTGAAAAATTAAGGGGAAACAGAATGTTATCATGTTACATTACAAACCATGATTGAATAGACAGCCATAATATGGCAAGGCAGGGAAACTGAAACAACTCTGGGAGATTTATAAGTTAGTACAAAACCCAGAAAATCAAATCTTTGGACTGTTTGAGCTGCCTGTTTCCAGGAACAGCAGAATCCAGATGTGAAAAAAATGATAAAGCTTGGACTGAAGCGGGTGTCAGAGACTAGAGCAACAAGGACACCCAGTCAAAGTTGAAAGAAATATTTCTCTTCCAGGGAGTCTGTCCATCCTGCTTCCCAAACCAACTCCTTGCAACTCAGACAAAGGAGTCCATTTTACAAGAGGATAAATTTAGGCAGAAGACCACTGCAGAACTGCAAGCCTCATCCAAGCAGAGCAACTCTCCACATAGCTTGTGCTGTACTTCAAAGAGGGCTTTGAGTCACCTACCATTCCTCATAGCCCAGATGTATAGGAGGCTCTCAGACCATGGATCAGTGCTCCAAAGGATTTCATAATTCACAGTTCTCATTAAAAACAAAAAATTTGCATGAAAACAAGAAAAGAATTAGCAGCATTCAAAGCCTCTATCAATGGCAACTTGAGCTTACCAGTAGGTTTTGCTGAGGTACTGGAAGTAGTACATGTAGCAGCCTGTGGATGGGTCTTGAGCATACACAGCCTCTCGTTTCTTGGCATCAGTGATCTCGATGAGATCCCCGTGATATTCAACCACAAATTCTCCTCGATTAAAATGTTTAGTAGCAATTACTCCTCTCCCTTTGCCATCAATGTAATCAATCTGTTGAGTTGAAAAGAAAATACTTTCTCATTTCCCAGCTGATTTACATCATTGCAGACATGCTGATTACTAGGAAATGATTTGTCATTAAAAAACTGCTGCAAAAGGGAATTTGTGTGTACTGCACACAAAGCTGTAGAAGCACAATGCATGGCACTGTGGAAGAAATGCAGGATGAGTTTGGGACACACTCTGAGTTACTGGTAGCTGGACACAGTGTCTTCCAATCAAAGAACTTAGGAGTGCATTTTTGTAAAGACCTTAAAGCCCCCTCAATATCTATAACAGAGGCTGCACAGACACAGCCTTCAGAGACCAACACTGCTCACTAGAAGGAGGGACTGTGTGTTCCAGTTTTCCTGCATTTTCAGAGAATTGCAGGGTCCTGAGACTGAGTTCTGTTCTTGATTAACATCAAGATACTGTGTAAAAAACAATACATGACCACTTCGGTTGGCACTGCAGTTACCTTCATTCCTTCTTCCTTCCCACTTGTAATCAGCTCATCTATTTTCCTCCTTTCCTCAGTCTGCAGAATGAACAAGAACAAACAAAACCACAGTATTATTGATAGCTTTTGTAGCTTCTTCTAGAGCTGGAAGGAAATTACCCACCAATGACACTCATTGTTCCAAACCATCTCATATTTCCAGCAAACTGAACAGCAGAAAGACAGATTTCTGCCCCCCAAAATACATAAACAGCTAGATTCTGTTCTAAACTGGACCAGCCTTTCCAAATTTTAAGCATGTTCTTAACAATACTTCAAGTGCACAACTTTATTTGCATTTGGAATAGAAACCATAGTTACACACTTCCCCAAATTTTCAGCTAATCAGACATGTTCTAAGTCATGTCATTTTAACAAGAAGCACTACCTCCAATTCAGATTTGCTCTTCCTGGAACTTCTTCTAACTGGGTAATAATCTGTCACTTTTCGGTTTGGTGCTCTTCCTTGTGTTCTAAGGAGGAAGAAAAAGAGAACACACACACACATTTCAGACTATTTGTTAAGTCACGCCACCAGAGCAAAGGTACATGCAAGAAATTTTTATTTGAGCTTGGTAAGTTGAAAGGTGATCAATAGGAATCAGTGGATTTTATCATTACTCTTAGCTTCAAGCCACAGCTACATCCCTTTTCCTCCCCACACTATCTCCATTGCTCCAGTACTAATTCTTGAACAATACAAGTGAGATGTCCTTGGAAATCCACTGAAGGTCACATTACAAGTCTGGGGCCCCCTGCGTGCCTTGCCAGAAGGCACTCGAAAATTTAGGTCATGAAAACTGCTTGGCAAGGAATTCATTAATGTTAGGTCACATTACTCTGATACCAAGAGAAAGAGATCAGCTCAGCCAGGAAGCCTCCAACTGTTCTGTTTCTGACAAGACACATTCCCATTTGTCCACAGGAAAGTAGGTCTTAATGGCTCATTAATTTATTTTTTTCCATAGGTGACCAGCAAATGTTTCACTTCTGATAGAACAACAGAACACATTAACCTTGCTTTCAAGACAAGCAAGTCCTCTGCAAAATAGGTACTTAGATGCTATTTTAGGGTTTTCAAAGTGTGATATTCTTGAGAAAACAAAGAGCTGTCCTTTCACAATTCCACAAATCACTTACTTTTTCCTTGGTCCTCGTTTTGCTTTAACCATCTTCTTCTGAGCTGGCTTTGCATTGGCCTCCTCAGCACACTCTGCAGGCAGGGGAGTCTTTTGGGTTTCCACAGTTTCTTGGTTTTGATCAGAGGAGGGCACCAAAGGATTGCACCCACCTTCCTTATCCTTCTGGTCTTCTGGTTTCACAGCACCTTCAACTATTCTGCCACCATTCTTTTTTCCTGGTGACAAGGAAATCGAGTAAGGCTCTGAACTTAGGGCCAACTATACCCAAGTGTTTAAATTAATTCCAGTGGTTTAGAGCTCTGTCAAATGAGAGAAAAAGGACAGCAATGACCCTGCACTGCTGGGCTCAGCAGCTGCAGATGTTGGCATCCAGTGGCCAATGCCACCCAGGATAAATCCATGGCAGCTAAAGGGCTGGCACTGACAAGAAATCTACACTCCCCACAACCAACATTTACTTGGTTTTTTGCATCCTACCCCAATGCAACCACATCCTCCTCCTCCTCACACAACTGACTCAGAGGTAGGTGAGAGTGCTTTAAAGCCCAATAACGTTTTTATGTAGAGTAAATAATCAGGTTTAACAGTCCCATCTGCTGAGACAGATGTTTCAGTCTCACTGGAGAAAAGAAGCACAGCTGCAAGGCCTCAGCAGTGGGACAAGCTAAAGCTATCTTCACTTCCTTGTCAAAACTGGGGAGCCAAATTAGGAACTAAAGGCCCCAAGTTTCCAGAAAGCCTGACACTCCCTGCATCAAACGTGACTGAAAATACCTGCTTGTAAAAGTGCTTGCATCAAAGTGCTTTGACAAATTACCAAGGCTGTTAAATGCACCTTTAAACACAGAGCCAGATGGGTCTTCTTCCCCTTCATAAATTTACTGAACACTCCCATTTCTAGTCACTGTGAAGCCTGGCACTCAGCATCCACAATCTGGGCTCCTCCTCACTGCTTTTATTTCTTGATGAAAATGTCAGAATTGGGGGGGTGGGAGCACATTTACCAACACAAGCAATCCAAAGCTCAATCTTACCAGCTCCTTTCCTGTAGGTTTCCTTTAGTGTTTTGCCCTGACATTTCACCTCGTGATACATGACAGAGTTTTCTTCTTGAAGTGGGGGGCGAGCACCAGGAGCTTTGTTGGGGTTCAGGTAGCCGTAGATTTTGGATTGACCAATAAACACATTCTCCTAAAACAGACCCACACAAAAAATCCGCTCAGAAAAGAGATTCCAGGAACCTGAAGCTGGCATCCACAACAGTCTGCAGCAAGCAGGGCTGACAGGTGATTGTGCTGATGCAAATTACACTGTTTGAAGCATCACCCTCACTGAGGTTGTGATTTCTAAGTGAAAATGCAACAGTGCTGAGCACTCTGGGAGTTAAATAATAAAATGTGGCAGGATGGGGTAGTCATAGCTAACTCCAGCCTCCACCCTTGTGCTTCACAGTATGAACTTTGGTGCTAAAAAAAACCCCCAAGCCTGAGCTCCTGGGAAGGCAGCCTCAAAGAGCACAAGCCAAAAAAAATATGAATAGTGCAGCAAAAATTGCCCAGGCCCAGCACAGAGCTCTCACAGCCAGAGAGGTATGAGCTACCCAGCCACTCTCAGGAGGTGTGAAATGTTGCAGCAAATTATATGCTCAACTGAGCAGCACAGGAATCAGTTTTACAGCCTACCTTGAGTGATACCTCTCAGCAAAGCACGGCAGATAAACAGTGCTATATTTTATCCATTATACGACATAAAAATAAAGTGTAAAGGTTGTGTATGGCAAAAAAGAATCTATGCACAGCCCAGTCAGGAAAATGGCAAAACCCTCTGGCATGGGCAGACACCACAGAGCCTGGGGTTTGTCACCGGCTCAGGCTCCAAGATGCCAACAGTGAGCAGTGTCAAATTTAGCAAAGATTAGTGGAGCCCTGTCACCTTTGCTGTCCCAGCCTCCTGCCACCTGGCTCTGCTGTGCAGGGTAGGTCAGGCACATTCCAACCGTGAAATCTCAGTGTCTGGACAAACAGATGCAACTTGGGCAGAATGAGGTTTTTTTGGCTATAGTTTGACTCGACCAAAAGCAATTTTCAGACATTGCATGCCAGTTAAAACAACAAAAATATGCATCCATTTTCTTAGAAAAGCAAGGAACAAAGGGTCCCAGTAGTCAAAAAAAGATAGCTCAAACATAGCTGACTAAACAAATACCTCAGCATTTCAGTCACAGACACTGCAGAAGTAAACAAAGTACACAATAGAACAGATAGGACAATTTTAATAATTAACGTGGTCATGAATAACAAACTTCCTATGTACATAATTCACACAAAATCAGACCAGTTAAAGGCTCAAATCCTAGTCCACAAATAAACTACAAATGATTGAGATTACGATTACAGCCTGAGAAAAACAAAATCAGACAGACACTCCCTGACCTTCAATATTTCTGAAAGGCCTATGAAAGGCAAAGCTTGCTTGGGCTTCAAAGCATGAAATACTATGAAAACACTCTGTTTTAACAAATGCAAGCAATGAGCCTTGAGCTTCAAAGTCCTCAAGATTTAATAAGAAGTTTAAATACGGGCATTTGGGGAGAAAGCCCAAAGCAGTGAAGAGCAGTCCACCTGCCAGCTGAGCTTTCAGGCTCTGAATACCCCATGAACAGGAAACGAACAGCAATTTTTCCAGCACAGCTTCCTCCCTCACTCCCAGCTCCCTGCCTGCTGTGCTCTTGGCGCTGCCGCTGCCACGTCTTTGTCTGTGCCAGCCTTGAGACCCCGGAGAGCGGAGATCTTCTCAGCGCAGCAAAAAAGGCTGCCTGCTGAGGGGCCCCGCGATTTAATGCGATAGCCACAACTATTTCCATTGGGAGCTAAAGGCAAGGAGGCTGCCCGGGACAGAGCTGCAGGACGGGGAAGATGGCACGGAGGGAATGCCGAGCCCAGAGCCTGTCTGCGGTAGGGCACAGGGAAACACGGAGAGAGTCCGACTGTAGTTCGAGTTAACCGGTTTGTGAATGATTTGGGGGCTCCCGGAGGCCCGGGCCCCGCGGCTCCCCGGGACTGCCCGCACCGGGGGAAGCGGAGCGCACCGGGGACCGCCGGGAGCCGCCCGCCCCGCTCCGCCCGCCCAGGCCCGGGCACTGCTTACCCCGCCGGCCCGGGGGCGGCTAGGGCCCTTCCTCTCGGCGCTCTCGGGGCTTGCCTTCTCCACGCCGCCCGCCCTGGTCTTGGGCATGTTCTTCCCTAGGAGCAACGGGGGAAGATCGGCGCCTGAGCCATGTCCGGCGCTGCCGCCCGCGGTCATCGCCCGGCCGCCGCGGCCTGCGCCATGTTTAAAGGGCTGGATGCGGCAGGGCGAGCCGCGGCGGCCCAGCCCCTTCCCGGCGAGCTGCGCACACCGCGCGGGGGAGGAGTCCCGCCGGCCCCGGCTCCCCGCACCTCCGCCCCGGAGCCCCCGCGCCGGGCGGCCCCGACTGTCCCCGCGGAGTCCCCGCCGCCGCCAACCGCTCCGCAGGGAGACGCCGCGTTACCCCTGGCAACCCCATTGGTTTAACCTCCTGCCAATCATCGCGCGCAGGCCTCCGATTGGCGCGAGCGGCCATAACCCGCCCTCCCCCTGTCACACCGCGGTGGCTGCGGCTCCCGGGAACGGGGTTTAAATGTGTGTTCGCTGGGCGCTGATTGGCCCGTGCCGAGGGCAAGCAGCGCTCTGATTGGCGGCCCGGCAGGGCATGCCCCTCCGCGCCACGTGGGTGGGAGCGCGCGGGAGCGGGGCCGGGGGTCCCCCCGCACGGCCCTGCCCGTTCACCGGCACCTCCCTGTCCCTCCCGCACCTCTCCGCAGGGCACACGGCCCCCGCCACCTCGCTGCGGCGATCTGGGGGACCCCTATCCTGGCGGGATTGCAAAACTCTGCTCTGTGAAATTATTAGGCTGCTTTACGCAATGCTTAGCTTAGATCTCCCTGGTTGAAGTTTAAGTCTATTAGTTGCATCTTCCGAGTTTGCTGGAGAGCGGGTAATACTGCAGCATTGCACGAAAGCATCAAGACCGTATGTAAATCCCCATTCCATAACGAGGGCAGCTAAAATATTACAAAGCCAAATGACAGAGCTGTCATTATCACCAGGATTCCCTGGTCAGAAGCTGCCAACAGAACTAGCAAATACACTTTGAAATCAGGAAAGCAAAATGGCACAGAGCAACGCAGCAATGAGGCAAAGCGTGCATGGATCGGGGATCTGGATGGATGCCGAGTGGGTGCCATGGTGGAAGTGAGGAAATTGCCACACGGGAGTTTGGTGCTCCGTGATAAGCAGAACACTTACACTGAGCACCGTGCATGGCTCCTGTTTCCTATCTGTGTTACCCTCCTGCAGCCAGGCTACCTGAGGGTGCTCAGGGCTGGTGGCACTTGTGCTGGCTATCACCACGGGGGTGGCTTCCCTCCCAGGGCTTATCTACAGCCACAGGCTGCTGCTTGTCCCTCGGGCATTCCCACAGGGACATAAACAGCCAGTCAGCGATACAGCTGAAAACCATCCTTTCCCTCAAGGACAGGAAAAACCCTTCTCATCTTAAGCAACCTTGTCCTTTCTAAGCTGTCACACAGCAGCTGGGGGCTCACAGGACAGAAATCCAGTGTGACTGCAGAGGAGCCCCAGAAGGCAGCACAGCATTCCCTGCCAGCCCCTCCTCTTCTTGCATTCAGGTGCTTTGGGAGAAGGCAGAACAAACTCTGCATGGCACTGACATTTGTCACATATGGGTTTTCGATCACCAGGCACATGAATTTAAGAGAGGCAAGCAAAACACACTGGGTGTTTTCCTGCAAACTCAAAGCTGCAGCCAGCTGACATCCTCTGGGCATCATGTCCATGAACATCCACGGTGCTCTTCCATCAAGGCAGGTACTCCAAGCTCTCTGCAAAAGCACCAGAGCAAACACTGCTCTGATTTTCCACCCCAGTTTGCACTGTGCTTTTCACACAGCTGGGGTGCAACTGGAAAAAAAATAGATCTTCATAAATTACTAAGATGATTTCCTTCTTGCAGTAATAGGGAGCACTCTCCCTACTGTCTTGGGAAAGCTCTGGAAACGCCCTCGACTGTGGTTTTGCCCAGCTGTTGGGGGTTGTATGCTTTAAATAATTATTTTATATATGTATATTAAGCAAAGGAAGTGAGTTGGCATCGAAGCCGTGCGGGCCACCAGTAGAGGGCAAAGGAAGCCAAGGAATTCTCTTCCCCAAGAGCAACAAAGAAAACAACGTCATCTCTAAGTGGCCGCCGCTCCCGGCGCGGTGGGATCGCAGTGTGAATTAGCAAAACGTGCTGGCTTCACCCCTTAGACGGCTTAAAAAAGCCAGAGATGAGGAGTTAAAACGCTAAAGGCTGCAGCCCGAAGGAGCGCGGCCGGAGCCCCGGTCGCTGTGCTCGGGACACGCAGCAGCACAGGGAGAGAGAATCCGGAATCCGGAGGGAGCAGCGCTAAAACCCAGTGACCTAAATATTCTCGGCCGTGGTGCCGCATGAGCAGCTCCCCGGAGCACCACGTTTTACTGCGGAAATGTGAAATTGTTTTGTGGGGGAAGGGAAGGGAAGGGAGAGCGGGCGAGGCGGTGATTTGCTCAGAAAGGGAAGAAAATCCTCAAGGTAAATCTCTTGGGTCTAGATGAACACTTCATCCAGTTAAAAAAAAAAATAAATCTTATTTTATCTTTGAATTCGTAGTTTAATTTTCTGTCCAATATACCAAGGAGAGGTTTGTTAAATATTCCCACCTGAGAGCAAGTTCTCACACAGCACCTGTCATATTTGCAATTTGCAAAATAAATGACAGCATTTACACAAATTTCTCGTTCACAAGATGAAATCCCTACAATTTGTGCTTCAGCCACTAGAAATCAAGTAAAAACAATCCCTGAGGGTAACTGCTGAGTATTACATTAAGCAATATCATTTTATAAAGTCATAGAGTAAAATGCCAGTAGGTGCTAACTGCATTTCAGAGATTATAAAATATAATTACATTCAGAATTGTATCTACCAATGACATAAAGAAAAAAAATCTCTGACTAGAAAGTGCAGTGAGAGCCGTGAATTACATGCCAAAATTCTATGGAAACAGAGTCCTGCAGATAAATGTGCCTGTGCTAATTCCACGCCAATGGAAAGCAGCATTCCCACCAGTGGATTACTCACCTATTGCAGTCGAGGATGATCACAAACGCTGACAGGTAACTCCCTTTTCTACTCAAGCCATCAAAACCCTCTCTTTATTGTCACGATTGCACAGAGCTGCTGAGATTTGAAGTTTGATTCAGCACGTGTGAGCTGTATTTCATCATGCCTTCATCTGAAGGGTGCAGAGGGCAATAACCAAGATAAAAGCTGCCATTTCAATTGTTCTTCTGGTCTCTGGCCTCACTTCTGTCGTCTTTTTCTCCATCTGAAGCATCACTGATTAATCTGAATTATTTAAGTCAGTTTAATTAACGTTGCTTTGTCTTTAAATAGTTTAGCCTTAATCTGTCTAATCCTTCATTGGTTATATTAATCCCTGTTAAATTTGTCTAATGATAAAATAAGCAAACTTGCACAAGATTGAATGAGTAGTATTGATCTTTTGAAGGAATTTCATGATTGCTCACACTTCAATTATGTCTGGCTCAATTCTGTGTGAAAGTTCTTACAAATTTTCATGTTCTTACACAACTGGGAAAGCATTTTATTGGAAGATTGTCTCTTTTAACAAGTCTTCTCAGTCTGGGGGCCTCCAGCGCTAAAAAAAATGTCTCCAAATGTGAAACTAGCATGAGTGGTCTCCAGATTTTAACTCACTTTTTACAGCAGCAAGTTTCACATTAGCAGCTTGCACAACATTCGCAGGGTAAAACTCATCTGCCAGCACACCCCCGGGGCATTCCCGGGGAGGGCAGCGGGGCTGTCCCGGTGCATTCTCCCGGGGGAGTTCCTGCGGCAGGAACTCCGCGGCGCCGTGAGGGGGATGAGGCGGCGGTGCCCTCAGGGCGGGGGGGCTCGGGCCGCACCGGGGGGCTCGGAGCCGCCAAGCGCGGAGGAACGGGACCAGGGGCCCGCCTGGGGTGAGAGGCGTTCAGCGGCGGGAGCCCGGGCGGGGATGAGCTCGGGTGACAGCGTTTCCCCTCACGCCGGAGCCCTCGGAGCCCCCGGTGCCGCCAGCGCCGCCTCAGGCGGGGGCGCGCGCACCGCGCCTCCCCCCCCGCCCCGTGATGCAGCGAGAAACGCGAGCTCTCGCGAGAGCTCCGCCGCGCCGCCGAGTTCTCGCCGGCCGCCGCCATCTTGCGGGAGCCCGCGGGTCACGTGACCGCTCGCAGCCGTTCGCCTCCGCCTTCCCCTCCCCCCACCCTACCGGGAACCGGGCCCGGAGCGCCGGGGCTCGACTGCGGCCGCCGCCCTGGGGCGGGGCCTGTCCGCGGGGACGTCGCTTGTTTGAAGGACGGTGGATACGCCGGTTTTTTTTTGTTTTTGCGGGGGGACGGAACGGGGACCTTGCTGCCTTCTTGCTGAGGGCAGGGCGGAACCGAGGCGCGGCATGTCACGTGACGCGGGGCGGCGAGCGCGCGCCGGGGCCCGGCGGCGGGAAAAGGTGGGGGGGCGCGGTGGGCGCGAGGCGGCGGCCACGTGACCGGGGAGCCCGCGGTGCCTCGGGCCGCCCCCCCCGCCCGCCGCATCCCTGCGCGGGCAGAGCCCCCCGGGCCGGCCCGCGCCTTTGTGCGCTCTTTCCGCGGCCGCTGATTGTTGAGGTTGGAAATGGAGAAACGAGGCGGGCGTGGGGGGGGGATGGGGGCTGCTTGATTTATGGTGCCGAAAGCCGCCGTGAGACGGAGCCCTCCCGCCCGCCCGCCCTTCCCCGGGAGCGCGGTGCTGTTGGAGGGATCTTTAAAGAGGTGAAGGTCTGGAAACAAAAAGTCGCGCATGGGACGGGATTACGCAGCCGATTCTGGCCCAACCCGGAAGTTTATGTCGGGAACACGTGCTGGTGGGAAGGTGGCGGGGCGGCCGCCGCCGACCCCCCGCGCCTCCCGTCGCCTCCCCCGGGGGCTTCCCCGCCCTGCCGAGCCCTCTGGGGCCCCGCTGCTCCCGGGGAGCTGAACCGCGGCGGCAGACACGGCCTCAAAGTCCAGGGACTCTTAACGAGCGCACCTCAAACAGAGGTTGCTAGGGTGAGTAATAGTTTAACGTAGAAATGCTCCTGCAGTCTGATGGGGAAGAGGCCTTTTGGGTTTTTCTGCTGTGGTGTTTTTGTTT